TGCGTCACGTGGTCAAAACCCTACAGAAAACACACCCGCTTTTCCCTCTGTCTAGTCTTCCTTTCATGCAAACGAGCCTTGGCTCTTTCTTGGTCCTGGGCCTTCATTCATGCTCCTGTCCCTATCAGGGACGGCACCGTCACTCTGCGGCTCAGCTCTGTGAACATCAACCCAACTCTGCAGAGCCATCGCGCGCGAGTCTCTGAACCTTCCCCAGTGCACTGGCCAGAGAATCTCCTTGCTGCTTCCAAGTGCTGTCACTGACACAGTCCCTCCCCTGGGAAGGACTGACCCAGGCCCTATCGAGGGCTCAGAGGTCCCACTCACAGGGCAGTGCGCTCATCCCCTTACACTCAGTGTCCTCGAGTATAGGAGGGAGACATCGCTGGCCTCTTGAATGGAATTACCAGACGCATAAACCAGGAAATGCGTGCAATGACTCTGAAGACTTTAAAGTGCTGTCTAAACGCATAAGCACTTGCCCAAGAAGTTCTAAAGAACAAGCAGTTTGAACATCCTTATGAGTGAACAAACAGGTCTGTCATCCTGTCTCAGTTTTTCTATACAATCCTGGGGGAACTCTGAAAAAGAGGAAGGTGCAGAGGGCCCCCTCAGACTCACCAGCCGCACAAGCAGGCTCCCATTACACCTTTGGGATAAGGGCTGAGTCTTTATCCCACGGGAATTTGGGGGACACTGTCATTCTCCCATAGCCTCTTGACTCTTTGTCCCTTGAGCACTTGGGTCTAAAACTTAGAAAACATATTCTCTCCAAGTCTACCTATAACTCTGCATTTTAAGTGTTCGATGGTCCATAACAAATCATTCACATACAGGCCAGCTGGCTAAAGCACAGCAGGATATGAGAGGGAGAACAGCACAGTAACCTGGGTTTAACTGGGCCACCCAAAGCACTCATAAAACCACCTTAGAGGGAATAGAAGCATCTCTACACAACTCCCTTCACCCTCCACGAACCATTCCTGATGGGAAGGGGCTATAAATTCTGGCATCCATCTCAGTTACTTTTCTCTTGTTGCTGAGACAAAATACCCAACATCCAAAGTTAAAGGGGGAAAGATGTATTACAGACTGTAGAGCTTTATTATAGTTGCAGGCTTCAGTCCATCATCAGCTGGCTCCTAGGCAGGGTGGCACATGGCAGAGGGGCACAGTTCACGGTGGGAGAAGACAGCAAAAGCAACAACTGAGGAGCAAGACAAGCCTTCTTCTGTCCTTTATATTGTATCCAGTCTACCAAGATTAGGGAGGTGCCAGTCCAATCAGCGGACTGACTCAATCCAGCAGTCACCCACCCTTCACCCCAGCATCCTCAATCCCAGCACTACGAATTTCATATATTCTAGATCCAGACACCTCTGAAAAAGCCCTATGACTGCATGAGGCTTTGGAAGGACATCTAGACACAAACCCTAACAGCATCTTTGGCTAATTTTACATGACGCAGGTACAAGTGACTTTATTTTTCCTAATTGCTGGAAATAAAGAGGTCTCCTTTCTAGTCACATTCTCTAGCCAAACGTTCTGCTACTTTAAAACATTTGGTGGAAAAATAATGCTGGCAAACTGTTCTTAAGAAGAAAAAAATTGCATCAGTTTGGGTTTAATTCTAATATGTAGAGAAGAATACGAGCTTATCCTGCATGATGGTACAATGACAAAATGGGTTAATTACAATCTCATCCTAGGACGGATCTACTTGTCATAGAAACAGGAGCCGTTATTTCACACAGAATAATGACCCAGATAAGAGGGGATGACTGTAAGCTGCGACAACTTCATCTTGCCCTAACTGAATAGCAATTAACAAGTGTCACCACTGCATACATACAAGCAGGGGCTGAGCTGGTCATTAAATATGTACAACGGGAAACCTGAACCGTTTTTTAGTCTACTTCTTTCCTGGAAGCACCTGTGGTCTTCTACCTGTGTGATGACAAAGAAATTTATACATGTATAAAATTCTGCCATCATGGGGACAGCTTTGGGCCCTGGAGAGGGGCACTCAGACCCCCCTCTGCTCTTCACATGCACAGGTGGGGTTTTCTCTAAAAATCGTGTCATACAGCAGAAAGGAGGAGCAGAAGGAAGGGAGCCCAGTTGCACTGTTTCATCTCTCTTCAGGGCTGTCAATGCCACTGGCCTAGAAATTAAAGTCACAGCAAGCACCAACAGCCAGAAGTTCTAAAGTCTTCTGAGTCCAGTCCTCATCCACCAGTGGACAGTGGTGCATGGTGAGGGGCAGGGGAGGCATCGCAACACACCTGGCTCCTGCCAGGCAGCAAGGATCCTAACACCTTTTCTCTTCACAGGAGGGAGAATCTCTGGGATACACATTTGGAGGCCAACTCCGGGGCAGAAATTTCATGGTTATACCATCGTGCAACTTGTCTAGTCTGCTGGGATGCAATAATTAAATATCCAAAGGTATGGCAGGAAAGGTACAATAAAGGGTATCATTTTCCAACGTCGAAGACAAAATTCTTACACAAATATAGAATAAGTGTCAGTCATTTATTTAACAAATTACTGATTGACTCCCCGGATATTGGTACACAAGCACATACACACACATAGAATGAGCAGAAGAACAGAACCCTGGGATGCAAAATAAGATCCAGTGTCCTGTAGTGCATAAAACCCATAACTTTGAGCTTAACTTCTGTTGGACAGATGCCCATCTCCACTACAGTACTTCAGAAACTCAGCAGCAAAGTAGCCCACAAATCAGGACTCTGGCTTCCTTAATACCTTATACGGGTGGTCTTCAGCGGCAGTTATGCAACAAGTTGGTTTGGTTAAAACCAAGGAACAGCATCACATTTTTATAGAGCATATCTGAGAGAGTGGACAGGGTCTCACATCCTCATATAACTTACATACCACTCAGATATTTCAAGCATCGGAATCTTAATTACAAAACCATTTCAACAATTACTTTTCCCCAATATTCAGTTCTTCAGTTGAATTCTACCTCTAGGAAGTCTACCCAGCCTGATTATAGAGTTTTGCACTTGCAGCAATTCCAACAAAGATGGCCCTACTTATACAGAGACCTGCGTGAGTTAGAAAATACTTGTGTTCTCTGATTTCCATGTGTGTAAACAAAAACTATGTTTTCCCATTGCTTAAATAATCATCTGAATTCTACCAGTGTAGAACGAGCCTCCACTATCCTTGTAGAATTATCAGCAATTTTGACCTGAGAGATCATCCGCTTCCTGGTCTATGGTCCTAGCTCTTCCCACAGACAGTGGTTAGGTGCAGGGCCCCGGAGCCTGAATGCTCAGTAAGACTGAAGGTACAGAGCAGGAAGAAAACAAATAACCTCTAAAGGGATAATCAAATTCTTTCACTTCTCTGCAGAATTCCTCACAATGGCTTCCCATTGCTTTTAGAGCCCAGTCTTTGCTCTCTGAGCTCTTCTCCTGCCCCACAATCTCCCTCTTTTCACAGGGGCCTCTCTGATCTTTTCACAACACTTGCTCGCTTCTGCTCAGGCCCTCACTCGCGCTGTTCCCTATGCTCAGAGACTCCCAGACTGCCTCTATGTGGCCCGTCAGCACAGCCTCCTCTTCATCCTTCCAGGCTCAGCTCAGAGCACCTTCTCCATCCAGACCACACAAGGCCACAGCATCCACCTGCCCCTCAGCCCGGCATCCTCCCTCCCAGCAAGGCTCACCGGCAGGTACCATCACAACGGTAGGAGGGAAGGACCACAGCTAACCTGTACTTGGCTTCCCAGTACCTACTATTCATCCTGATCTGAAGGTGACCGCCCACGATATTTATTAATGCACACACTGGCTAGGTGGGCCTCCAACAAGCCGCCGCAACCTGTTCAGGGTGGGAACCATTGGTTATAGTCACGCTCCACATACTGACATTTCAGTCAGTGATGGACAGCATATACTACTGTGATGCCCGAGGATGGTAACGGAGCTATCACTTAATGATGTCACGAGCACCCTAACATCACAGCACAGTGTTACTCCCGTGTCTGGGAGGACGCTGGTGTCAGCATACCTACTGCGCTGCCAGTCCCATAATATGTACTTGACAACAAACTACTGGTACTGATTTATATATTTACCATACTATACTTTTCAATCTTTAGCGTATACCTCATCTACTTATGTATAAAATGTTTACTGTAAGGCACATGCAAGGCCATGTTTTGTGTGTAGCAGCCTCATACATCTGGTGCTGCATAAAGAGGCCATGTTGTGACTGACTTAGACCATGAAGGTCACGGCAAGTACACTGCGATGTTTTCCGTAAGGAAGAGATCGCCTAGTGGCACAGTTCCCAGAATATATCCCTTTCATTATGTGATGCACGGCTGTACTTGGGAAGACTGGTTAAGGGGCGCAAGATAAACATGAAGAAATAACTTAACCCTAGTTTTGGGCAAGGTCATTCCCGGTGCAGTAAGTGTTACATTGAAACTCAAGTGGACTCAGCAGTTAGGCGTGAAACCTCATGTGCATGAAGAAACATTCAAAACCAGACAGTTTCTGGGCAGATCTGAATTCCCTGCAATGACACAATTTTCCCTGGTATATCACAGGCCAGGAACCACAGGACTCTGGCATGCTCTTGCATTGTAAGCGGAAGGCAGTTTACTCCCAACAAAGACCCACTGGACTAGGGAGGAAGAGGGTGTGGGGCTCTCATGCCCTTGAGGGTTTCAGAGGAGTTCCAGCAGTGGGCGTGCCTGCCCAAAGGCTATTAACGCCACTTCAATCCTGAAAGGTAGAATGTGGGTCCTGCCAGCCAGGGAGGGAGGAGGAAGCCACCTCCTTCCAGAGTCAGTTGTAGCACAAGTTTTGTGTGTGTGTGCTATGGGACTGCCCAAAGGTCTCGGTCACAGCTCCCCTCTAAGGCCAAGGCCTCTGGAGTGCACCTGACCTGCCCTAACCCTGCAGCCCCTCGTAGCCTGTGAACCCGTCCAATGAGGCCCCAACCTCAGCACTCACCTTCTTAATGAACTCTGGGATGATTTTTTGGTCTGTCAGTTGTTCTAAGGAAGAGGAGCAATCTAATTCCAAGACATAGCCTTCATTGTGAGGATCAGTTTTCTGAGATCTGAAGGCAGAGAAAGATACAAAGATTGAGGTTTTAGACAGTATTTTTAGAAATATTCTTTACTGAGTGCCAGTGAAACCCCAAATTCTTTCCTGAAGTAGCTCCCAAAAATAGCACTGCTGAAAAATAACTTAAGGTAAACAACTCAAAGAATATATATAGTTATATGCCATAGAAAGACCTCTAAGACATATGACCAAGTACATCACTGCAGCACACAGGTTCAGTACAATATGGCTTACATAGTAGAATGAATATATATATAGGTTAAGCACACACCGACACACCAGGAACATATATAGCATTGGCTTTAGATGCAAGGCATAGGAAAAGACCTAACAAAACACACCAAGCAACAATAGCAGTGACATTAGCCATAATGTCTACTTTTATATTTTTAGTGAAAAGAACATATTCATGTATCACTTAGAAAATTAAAAATCAATCCTTAAAAGATATTAAAGAGGTTTTCAACCCCTTTACGCTGGTCCCCACATTCCCACAGTATGTGATGCAGCACACAGGACATAACTGCCAGCAGGAGGGGCAGGAGCTACTTGGTTACTAGCAGAAACCCCACCCTTTTCTGTCACCCCTTTGTGGCCTTCCATGTGATGCTGACATGGTCTGGGGAACTCCTGGAAGCCACGTAGTTGTTGGAAGCTGAAGGCGAATCTCTGGCCCAGCCAGGCCTGTAGCAATAAGAACTGCAGGTACAGGTCAACAGAATGCGCTCTCTCTCTCGATAGTGGGGATTGGAAATGCACGACCAGGGCTGTGGCATGCTGCCCAGCTCTTGAACCACATACCAGCTACTCTGCACTGGTTGAAGACTGAGCCGGGCCCTCCTGGCCCACTTATGACACTGCTTCACTAAAAAGGGCCCTGCCTACCTCTGCAAGAGCAAACAGGCCAGAAAATTCTTAAAGTGGCCACTTCTATGCTATGCTCCTGAGATACACACATCTTACCAGTTTCGGCATGCATATTTGTTATAATATTTTAAAAACGAATTTCCAAGATTCCTATGTAGCTTTAAAAGCAATGTATCCTACCATTAACCATCTGGGTATGATTTACCTGAAATTCAAAAGTGAAAAAAATGAGAGGGTTGGGTTTTCCCCAGGTGTGCTACTATGGTTCAGTGACAAAACTTCAATAGTTTATTTTTATTTTTGCTTCTAACCTATCCTTCCCAGGGTAGGGTAATGAGGTGCATACATTTCAAATGTAAAAGAAGATACTGATTTCTAACGAGTTGTATTAGTCACTTTCCTGTCACTGGGGAAAAAATACCCAACACCTGCAACTTGAAGGAGAAGAGGTTTATCTGGCTCCCAGTTTCAGGCGGTTTATTCCCAGGCCAAAACAGCATGGTAAAAGGGCATGGCAGAGGAAGGCTGCTCAACCCACGGCAGTCAGGAAGCAGCGAAGGAGTCAGGAAGGCTGCTGAAGCCATGGCAGTCAGGAAGCAGCGAACATTCTTGTCTATTGGACAAGAATACACCCTTCAGGGTCACACCCTCATGACTCCCTCTTCTGATCAGGCCCCACCTGCTGACAGCACATTCAGGTGGCTCTGAACTCATCAATGAATTCACCTACTATGGAGTCTAGTGCCTCCATGACCCAATCACCTTTCAAAAACCCCACCTCTGAATATGGAGACATGGGGAGGTACTCTAGACCTAAACCATTACATGGGTCAGCCTAGAATAATTCTAGTTGAATAAACCAATTCTGAACCCTAGTTTTCTTGCCTTAATATCTGGTCGGAGACTAAACTTAGGTTCTCATTTTTCTCCCTAAGAAGAACTAAAACAGAGGTTCCAGACTTCTGAAAATGAAGATCTGGCCAAGACACACTCTCGAGTGTACTATGTGAGGTCTTAGGTGACAAAGAACAGAGTGGAGGAGGGGTTTTGAAAATGTAAAATCCCAATGGCTGTGTCACATGGAGAATAACATCAGACTGGATAAGGGTATTTATAAATATCCATTGAGATTTTAAATAATTAGGTTGAAAAATTGTGATCATTTAAAGTAAGTCAACACTACAGTAAAACACTCATAAAATGAATGGAAAGAAGATGAATCTGTAAGCAACCAGAGACCAGGTTCACAAGAATAATCTAACTCAGAGGCTAGTAACTGTCATCTTTGGTTCTGCAACAAGTTGTACAACAAGAAAGTAAGCTCTGGTTCACTTCACCGAATAATTAATTCAGTTACATCTGATCTGAAAGGCAGACAAAGGCTTAACAAGAATAGGCATTATAAGTTTTCTAGATGAACCATAAACAAATTACATCTCAGCCTACAGTTTCTTGAAAAAGCAAATGCAATGCACACTGGGAGACCATATAAACAACTAACAAGTCTTCCCCTTCCCTTAGGAATTAGCCCCACAATTTGACATGAAAGGAGTGTGACACTGAGAAGAATTGAAAGAGAGGAGTGGTGAGGATCTCTGAGCCTTCCAAGGATGGATGTGAGCTCCTGCCCAAGCCTTTAAGTCAGCACTCTTGTGAGGATGCAGCTGTGGTCATGAAGGGGCAAGAGCTGCGCAGAGAACCACAGTCACATAAAAACCCTCTCTATGCCACTAACCCTATGTAAGGAGCCACTAGCAAAACTTGCTTCCTGGATGGGGGAAATAGCATGGTTGGCACGGTGACCACCACCTCCTGATGTTCACACACTATGCATTCCTTCTCCTTGAGTGAGAGCAGGTCCTGGGGCCAAGGTGGTAGGATGTCACTTCCATGGTTGCGTTATGTCCTAAGACTCCATCCTGCCAGCTTGAAGAAGGAAGCTGGCATGTTATGACAGGGCTATGTGACAAGCAACTGTTAGGCAGCCCCTCACCAAGAGCTACAAGAAAACAAGGATCTTGATCCTTGCAAGGAAATAAATTCTGCCAACAACCCAAGAGAGCCCAGAAGTGGGGTTTTCCTCAGTTGAGCCTCTGATGAGACCACAACCCCAACTGACACCAACGCTGCAACCTAACGAGACCCTAAAGAGAGAAACCAGAGATGCTACAGAAACTTAAGAGATAATAAATGGATGTTGTTTTGACACACTAAGTTGGTCATAATTACAGAGCACAAGAAAACTAACACAGTTCATTCAGACACTTGAGAGTAGCCTCTGTCAGATAGCATAGACTTCATATCATGGGGGAAAGAATCACCCTGGGAAGGGGAAATGTAGATCTTGTAGAAGGGCTCAGGGGTCAGGGCATGGCCATCCAAGGGCCACAGCCCAAGCCCAGTCAATCAAATTTCTAAGTTTTAAACTGCAACTGAGCAGACATGGCCCACCCTCCTGTGCGGGAGGGGAAAGGCCAGTCCTGTTTCCCAAAAGGCCATGTCACTGTATCATCCTGGAAAAGGACGTGGGAAACCACCAAACTTCCCCTGGACTGAAGCCCAGATGCTTTCCACTTTTAGAAGGGACAGAGAGGCCCTGGTTTAAGTACTAAGGAAAAGTAGAGATAAAGGCTAGTCTGGTCTGGAAATTAACACCAAACACTCTGCACTTAAAGGCACTCTGAGAAGAACATATTTAAAAGTGAAATATGCTTCTTTGTCATTCTCCATCCCCAACTCAATAAATGCCACTGGATTGCATTAGTTGGAGACTACAGGCTCCAGAGGTAACTAGAGGTGGGTCCTTTGCAAGCTGAGGGAGTTGGGAGAATTTACTTGAAACTTGTGGCCTTTAGTTTCTTCACTGCTGAGTGAAGCAGATGTCTCTTAGGGAATGCACAAGGAACTAGACAATGCAGACCCTAAAGGAGAGTAAAGGCAGAAGCTTTTACTCAACAACAGGGGAAGTCCTTGCAGGCTGTTGAACAGCGACATGATCAGATTTATTTTTAAAGTGTGCCTCTGGCTGCAGGGGGCAGCTGAAGGACTACTTCAGTGTTCAGATAAGAGACAATGGAAGCTCTAAGTGGAGGGTAGCAGTGTCAAGATCTGCATTCTTCACAGTTTTTGTGTGGACAAGGTTGTAAGGTGCGAAAGGAAGGAATTCTTTCCCAGGCATCCTTCTGCTAGCAACAGGGAGAACAGATGAAGCTGCCATGATTATGATAGGGAAGGCTTGGTGTCACAGGCTAGGGGAGGGGGTCAACAGCTGGGTCTCAGACATGCTGAATTTGACATGTCCAGCACACATCCGGGTGGAGAGATCCAGCAGACAGCTGAACATATATTCAAGTCTGGAAGTTATAGGCGGCAGCTAGGTATGCCAATTGGGAGGGGCATCAGCTTCCAGATAGTGTTTTTAAGACTACATATGAGATCTGCTTCAGTAAGGAGAAAGAAGAGTCAAGGACTGAGTTCCAAGATCATCTGCCATGAAAAGATTAAGGAGAAGAGAGGAAGAAACAACAAAGGAGGAGTAATCAGGGAAGAAGGAAGAAAACCAGGAGGACAAATTATATTCAAAGTCATTTCAAGGAAATGTATCACAGAGCAGGGCATGATCCATCCTGTCAATTGCTTCAATTAACAAACTTATAATCTTCTTTGCAATTTACTTACCCTCTTGGAATCCCAAGAGCAATCCATCCTATAAAAACAGGTATGAAGAAATTTGTTTACCTTGAATATATGGCTGTCTTGTTAAATTGGCAGACTACCAAATTAATACCATTAATATACGATTGTCCTGTGAAATTGGCAGATTGTCAAATTCATCTATCAGTTTGGTTCAGAATTGTTTAAGACTTTGCAAGAAATGATGGCTGTGTTATCAGATCATTTCTCAGAAACTGACTCGGGAGATTAATTAAAGTGCCCTGACCCAGAGCCCCCATTTGTGCATAGCACTAGAGAGGGGCGGGGGTCTAATCTCAGCCATTCCAAGCAGATTTTCTGAAAGGAAAGAGAAATAAGGGGATATTAATGAGCATAAATACTGTACAGTGTCTTGAACACGAAGAATGAAAAAGATGAATTCAAATTCTTAAGAGCATAGCAGCATGGTGT